CTGTGTCTGCCGCAATATTACGATATTCCAGTGGCCCAGTGAGACAAGCGCTGGCTGGTGCTCTTACGTATGAATGCTGATCCCACGCATTCTTAGCCTACTTGCCAGTCCTGGTGTTACAATTTACTGTAATAGCTGCGAAACTCTTTTCGCAAGTCTCTGGCTTTTTTGGGTAATACCATCCTCTTTCTAATCTCAAATTTGGGGCATAACACTGGCCTTCGCCAGCGCAGTCATTCCTGCCTTCAGTCTCATATAGATCTGTGACCAAGATTTGTATTTTCTTCTACACGTGTGTTTCGAAATAGGGCCTCCTCTTCGACTGGGAAGGGGTCGATCTTTCTGTGTAGTTGCTACGTTTGTTGCCCCGTAGTTTCAGCACGAGTACATCCGCGCTGTCACGGCGTCCAGGTCACTACGGACTCTGTGCATTCTTTGTCATTGCACTATACTAAGTAATATTTATATAAGGTATACGGAGGGTTTCAGTCAGTGCAGTTTTGTGCAGCAGGTTATGCCTTAACTTGTGCAACTATTGTGAAACTGCAGTTAGTGAGCTAAATGGTCGTAGACCTGAACGCCTCCACGTTTAAGCCTCTTATACTTCCTATGCATGGCGTCTCCTTGTCCAATACAATGTACATTTTCATTTACATGGCTTAGGATTACTTGGTAGCGTAGTTGGTTGAGGTACTATTTTACAAGCCGGAAGGTCGCGGGTTCAAGTCCCGATGAGGTCATTGCATTTTTCCCAATTGATCTAATCCTTCCAACCGCACTATGGCCCGGGGATCGACTCAGCCTCTAATAGAAATGAGTACCAGGAATATTATTGAAATATTCTTGGGGGTTAAGGGCGGCCGGCGCGTAGGGCAGACACCCTTGCCGCCATCTATGAGCCGATTATCTAGAAAATATTGGAACCTCAACATCCCACAACCCTATGAGCTTCCACGGCCTGTTACAAGGATACCTTTATTTATTTATTTATTTACTTTTTTTTTAAGGATTACTTTAGGATTACACGTAAGGAATTTTGAAAGCCATTTGCAGTTCGCGGTCCGGTGTGCACCTGTCAAGATTTCCAGCAGCGCGTAGTATTCCGCTCTGCAGGCGCTGCAATTTCAAGGGATGAGCGTCCGCCATATACTCCCAAGTGGGACAGGCATAAGTCAAACTGACCTAATCAATCTTTGTAACGCGTAAGTTTAATATTTGTATTTAAACGCCAACTTCTGCATAGAGAATAGGTCGCTGCCTACGTTCGCGAGGCCTTGGCTGCAGTCCTCCCTATGTAGTGTCTCCATGCAATCATCCTGCCGCAGGTGACGCCAAGACACGTCACATTATTAACAAAGGAATGTCTCGTCTGTTTAGTTGCAGTGCGTCGTTAGGGACTCTAAATCTTCTGGAGAAATGGATCTTCTAAGTTTTCCTTTCATTGGTCTTTATGTTTCAGAGTCACACGACGAATTCCTGCATTGAGGCCGCACTGCAGTTTTCAGAGAGTACGACGTTCGTGTTTCTGTGTCGCGTAAATACAGGTATCGTCAGAGAACAGCAAGATCAGTTCCAGATTCCACGGAAGCATCATTTATATATAGACTGTACAACACTTGGGCAAGGATGGAATTTTGAGGCACCTCTGCCACTATTTTTCTTCACGTAGGAAATTCGCCTTCAACCAAGACTTTAAAATTCCTGTGTGTTAGGAAGGAAGAAGTTAACTTTTTTTTTTAATTATAATTCTGACAATTTACATAGTAGGCCAGAGTGCAATGTTGTGTCGAAGGCTTTCTCGGTATCCAAGAAGACAGCAGCCATCAACATATTATTGTCGAAATTTAAGACGTCTTGAACCTCCAGCCTCATGAATTGAAGTGTCGTATTGTGATCTGCTCGAAAGCTGAACTGACTTGCATTTATTAAAGAGGTTTCCTCCTGATGAAGAGACCCTTACGTCCTCGGGTCGGACCCAGTAGAAAACACCGTTCCCAGCAGTTCCTCCATTGTCGCGTCACGTATTCGTTGCAGCGGAAGCGTGACTACTGAGCCGTTGCCTCGCAAACGATCAGGTATATTTACGTGCATACCCATCCGTTACCTAGCAACGGCTGTCTCAGTCGTCCTATCACAATATTAAGCAAAGAATTTTACATTAATATATATGCATTACCCTCTGAGTTAGCTTGAACCTGCTCGTAACTCTCCATTTTCCTTAATTTCTTATGGAAAATTAGCTCTTTATTTGCGGGTTTCTTGATCTATGCGATGTTTTTCAGGAACAAATCCACCACATAAACTGAGAAAGGACTTGATATTGTATCGTCACCTTAACACTCCTGGAATGAAACCAATGTATGGAGTTGAATTCTCTATTCAGTCCGATTCTTGCACACAAGGAATAGTAAGCACTACAAAGCACACTGTAATTTCACTTGACATCAATTCCACCAGAATTTTAGATGTTTATATAAAACAATCTAATGATACATTACGCAGTTCGTGTAATATTTAGGGCTATACCAAATGACTTGGGGACACGCGGTATCGTAGTTGGTTGAGGCACTATGCTACAAGCCGAAAGGTCGCGGGATCGAATCCCGATGAGGTAATTGGATTTTTCTTCAACTTACCTAATCCTTCCAGCCTCACTATGGCCCTGGGGTCGACTCAGCCTCTAACAGAAATGAGTACCAGGAATATTCTTGGAATGTTCTCGGGGGTAAAGGGCGGTCGGAGCGTAGGGCTGACAACCTTACCGCCCTCTATGAGCCGATTGTCTGAAAAATGTGGGAACATCAACATCTCACAACTCTATGGGCCTCCAAGGCCTGTTACAGGGATACCTTTACTTTTTACTTACTTTTAGACCAAATGAATTGCTAGATAAACAGACAATTGCTTTTCAGTCACTTGCTACAGGCTGGACGGCCAGAGTTCAATCCCCGGCAGCTGCAATGAATTTTTCTTCGTCACCACATCCATGCCGGATCTAAGGTCCATCGAGTCCCTTGTTCAGTGGATGAAAGTATCTCTTTCCCATAGAGTAAATTTGCCGGAGCCTAAAGCTCAGCAGTTACCTTCGTATATTTCCCCGGCTTCACATCCCCATAGATCTTCGTGTTGTAGAACTTGGATACAGAGACAATTTCACCTTGCCTTCACAACAAGGAACTGTAAAGTGTGTAGTTTTAGCAGCATTATTAAGGCGAATAAGTAACAAGCATAAGCTTGAAAAATACAGCGCACGAGAAGGAAAGAAGAAAATCGGCCACATTTTTAGTTGAAAACCATGAGAAAAGCTACAGCTTGGAATATCTGAAAGTGGGTGGAGGTATTGAGTCTTAGTTGAATTGCGTGTAAAATGAATTCAACTTGCTCAGAATAGTCCTAAAAGCAGTTTTCCGTGAACACGGTAATGAGTCTTGCGATTCAACAAAGGCAAGGATTTTATGACCATCTGACCGGGCAGAACTTGCAATTGCAAGAGCAAGTATCTGTGACATATAGTCCGTTAGTTGGTTGCTTAGCTCATAATTAACATGTAACGAGCAGATTATTAATTCAGCAAATAATGTTGTAAGTGTGAATAGCTGTATGGGATTATGTTTCCTCCTGGTTATGCTCACTATGAACAATACGGCTGAAGCGTGAAGTTGGCTGCTGACCTCCATCTAGTACCGAGGTTAATGTGTCGATCTTTACCTCCACTCTTCCATCCGTTTCATGGCCCTGTGGTCAAAGCGCAGGGACACATTTACTTTATTTACGAAGACAGTAGGCATTGCGTACATTCCCGAAATATTTTAGGAATATAGGACTGTGGTACCCCCCAAACCACATCAACCCGGACCGGTATTGAACGTATAACCTAGTACAATGAATGATTTCAGCGATTACTCAAATCTTTAACCTCCAAAGCAGATGGTCTAGTTGTGGTTCATGGTCAGTATCGAGTTATTTGATATGAGAATAGAAGCTGAGACATATGTTTTTAAAACATTCTCTGCATTTTGGAATACATAATTTGAACACTATAAAAGCCTAAAGGTAGCTGGGTTGTCCAAAATATGCCCCGTACAGAAAGTTTTGGAAGGACTGGTTGCCAAGTGGCACTGTAGTCTCGACTCTTGCCAAGTCTTCTCGAGAGGTCAGCCATCTCAATATGGAGTTATTAGCAGATGTTTTGGAGGCTGTTTCCGTCTCCATCGTGAACCCTTGACGATTAAGTTATTGCGGTTAGGTACTTGTGATTAAGTATATTTCTAAAATTCTCCGTTAATGTATGCTGCTTCTGATACATTCTCTAGTAAAACGTTCAGTGTACACTTCCCTTCTAATAAGATTAAAATACGTTTATATATTAAAATATGTTGTGAAACTCCTTTAAGTATTGAAGATCAAGCTAGATCTAAATGTATAAACTTTCCAGGTATTTTGTGTGGATGTGGAAGGAGGTCGTTTTTGATTTGTGGAAGGATTGTAAGTACATGTGTTTCAAAACAAGAAACTCAGGAGAAGTATTTGAGCCTAAAGGAAATTAAATCAGTCGGAATTTAGGATATTTCATAACGAGGAATTTAACTCTTTTCATATGAGCCTTCCAACATTGTTAGAGTACTGAAATCAAGGGTGTTATTTTGGGCAGGGCATGTAGATCGAATGGGAAGATACAAAATATGTACAGAATTTGATTTAGGAACTCTCTCGGAAGGCGGATACTTTTGACTCTTAGAAACAGAGGAAGGGCAATATTAAAATATATCTTTAGAAAAGATAGCGTATTTCCGTTCGGTTTTGTCTCCTAATTCGACAGTATTAAAAAAAACAAACTAAGGGTGATCCAGCAACATGTGTGTGCAAATTAGACTGGATTCTCTGAATTTGATGCAAGTGTTTTATTTTGTACATATTTGCCAGTCCTTTGAGCTAGAAGGTGTCGACGCGCAGGTCATCACGTTCTGACGTCACGTTGTGTCAGGACTATATAATGGCCCGAAGAGGCGGCTCCTCCGGTGTGAGGTAAACCAAGTGCTGTGTGTAGCGGAGTGCAACTGAGCAGTCTGCTTCTGGGGACGACGGCGGTTGAAACCAACTCAGAATCGGTTCGAATCAGAACAGGTAAGAAGAACATAGCAAAAAGAGAAGGGAATTCGAAGATTATAACGAACGCTGTTAGCACTTGCAGTGTTGTTAATACGTGTTGCCTCGGGGTGTAAGGCTCCACCTTCGGTTCAAATTCCACTCAGGGTATGGATTTGTGCCCGCTTGTTTCGTTTTTGTTGTTCTGTGTAGATAGAAGCCTTACGATGACCGATCCCCATCAGGGAAGTTCTACCAAATGTGTGCAAGATTTCGTGTCTAAGATGTTCTGAGATCGACAGGCCAGACGACCTAATTCATTAAAGCTGTAGAAGTATATGAAATACAACATCTAGTTAACTACGTGAACAAGAATCCTGACTGAGAAGGTAACAGTCGCGCAGATAGTCAAAACCGTGTACGGATCTCATGGGTTCTTCGCTGTTTTCACAAAGGCCTGCCATTTGTCCTTATTCTTAGTCATATGATTCCAATGTCTGCTCCCATATAGGCTACTGATTGAGATTAATTTTGATATTATCCTCTCATTTACTCATAAGTCTCCGTTAAGTGTCTCATTCTTTTAGATTTACCGTCTAAAATTCTGTGTACATCCCATATGTCCCCCATCCGTGTTACATACTTAGCCCGCCTCAAATTTGTTCCCTTTGTCGTGTTGTTTATGAATTCTGGTTATTGGTAGCGCTTGAATGTTGCCGCCCTAAATTATACAATCGTGGTAGGACGAAGCCATGCTATTTCTCTCATAAATACTGATCCCTGTGCTTAACTAATTAAGCACTACACCATGAAGGCGTATGGCGAAGTGGATGGATACCCCCACGTATTCTTGACCTCGGCGCTAGTTGGAGGTGAGTGGTCAGCTTCACACCCTGGTCGCTTTACCCCCGGGAAAGAGCCTCTGGTACCTATTGTATAGAAGGTTGGGTGAACCCCAGACGGTTGGCGAAGTGAAAATTCTTGACCATACCGGGACTGGAATTCCGGCCCCTCGATCGTCCAGCCCGTAGCCAGTCTCTATACCTACTACGCTATCATGGCTCCTGATCTCGACAGAGGACGTAATCTTTTACCTGGCATTATCTCCAGAATTTTAAAAGACTAATTGAATTTTGTTATAAATAAAGAAAAGTACGTCACATTTCAGCTCTTTGAATATTTTGTCATATTGTAGATTATTTTTCTTTCCATACATTACAGTTTTGTGTTACTCAAATGTACCGCACTTCTGAACTCTTCTGAATATCCGAAGTCTTAATGTTGTTAAGTTCATAAACCGATTTTCTTACGAAATACACATAGTCGTGAAAAAGCCCTAATTCAGGCCTATAGGTTTTTGCGCGTTTAGAAAAATGTCACAGCTCATCGCCTTCGCCGTGTTTGTCCTTCCATCAACTCTATAAATTCTATGATGTATGGAATCTTGTAATATCAATATTTGTTCTTGTTACAAAATAGACAATCCAGTATTACACCAAAGCATATAAATTGTTTAAATGAATAAAAAACCTCTGATGAGATTCGAAACCACGTTCCCATACCCGACAGCACGGCTACTGAGATGTTCCAGGAGTCTGGAAATGTGTGGTATATAATCACATAATGTTGTTTTAAGTGGCTTAATTTACAGATGCTTGGCACGATTGTCAGCTGAATTTTGTGATCTTTAATGACAGTATTCAAGTATCTTCGCATACTGAAAGCTCTAGACATGTAAGAACATATTTAATTAAAGATTGTGCTAAACGAAAGGTTCTTCTACTATACCTGTAACTATTTTTTAAATTTGATAATATTTGTGAAAGGGAGAGCAACTCTGTCTCACTCTCGTGTTGGTTTAGCCACAATTTTTTGCTTAAAAGGTGAGACTCTCCAAGCAAACAACTCACATCCTAAATCTTGAACGGCTTCAAATTAACGTACATAGTAGGCATTAAAGATATTATCCGATTTTGGAAATATTCTGCATTTTAACTCGTTGTAGCAAAGGAGGGGGGCCCGCGATAGCGTAGTTGGTTGAGGCACTATACTACAAGCCGGAAGGTCGCGGGTTCAAGTCCCGATGAGGTCATTGGATTTTTTCAACTGACCTAATCCTTCCAGCCGCATTATGACCCTGGGGTCGACTCAGCCTCTAACATAAATGAATACCAGGAATTAATTAAATAATTTTCCTGGGGAGTAAAGCGCGGCCGGTGCGTAAGGCTGACAACCTTACCGCCATCTTTGATCCGATTATCTGGATATTGTGGGACCCTCAACGTCTCACCCCTAAGGGCCTTCACAGCCTATTACAGGTATAGCTCTACTTTTTTACTTCACTTTACTGTAGCAAAGGAGAACAATTGCAGACTTTTAAATTTTGATTACAAGATTCAGTGAAATGACAGTTCACGAAAATGTTTAATTCAGTTTCTGATGCATATACAGCAAATTTTCGGTTAAATACTAATACCTAACTCTTTATAGGACAATAACAACTGTGCATATAACTTGACTTGATGTTCATTGACGTATTTAGTCCTAGAGTTTGTCTGTCGGATCCGTCTAATTCCCCCCAAAAAACAGTGATTATTTCCGTAATTATCATTAGTCCTGTAATCTTGGTAACCGAGTCATAATATGTAAGATTTGAGGCTTTCACGGCGGTGACTATGAAGAAAGCAGTCTTCTGGGATTTGGCACGGTGTATATGTGGTGTTAACCGACGTTTCGGAGGAACGTATCGCCTCCATCTTCAGGGTAGAAGAAAAAATATAAGAAATCTGCAAGCGAAGAGACCGTGAGAACCGGTAAAAGCAGACTGTCACTCTTCGCTTGCAGATTTCTTATATTTTTTCTTCTACCCTGAAGATGGAGGCGATACGTTCCTCCGAAACGTCGGTTAACACCACATATACACGGTGCCAAATCCCAGAAGACTGCTTTCTTCAGAGTCATAATATGTTTTCCTGAAAGTAGAAGGACCCTTATAAAATATCATTTAAACAGTTTCGTATTGCGAAGGGTTAAATACGTAACTGTCTGGACTCTGTAACTGTAGCTCCGCAGATACTAGAACTATCTGTCTATCTATATACGTATATATATATATATGCAAGTTCTAAAACGTTGGGAAAAATTCAGTGTTTCGAATTCCCATTTCTATTTAAAAGTCAGCAGAAAGAAATGAACCGCATTTTTTTTTTTTTTAGTTTCCATGAATGTGATGGAAAATAAATTATGCTTTACTCATTCAGTGTGATATCCGATTGACTTGGCAGCAAGGGGTATGTGTTTGGAATAAATGAACATTGAGGTCAAGATTGAAGTGGAAGATTCAAAGAAATGTGATTCCACTCTCGTTTAGTACGAAACCGGACAGTTAGAGATTTACCTGCAAACATCCCCCACTACATTAATTATTATATTATTTTTATGTCTTGTGTATTTCTATAAACATGAAATATGCTAGGCCACTTAACTCAAGTTCTCCTCTGCGGCTTTAGTAAGTCTCCAAGTAAATTTCATTTATAGAACTTTTTATGCTAATAGCCCCGGTAAGTTCCAGGCAAATGTTGCTCTGAGGGCTTGTCAAAACTTCGTGTAAATTCTATTCTTAACAATCCACTCTTCAATAACGGGCAGATAACTTTAGCCAGTTGTTGAAAAATGTATTATTTATTTGCTTACATAAGGACGCTTCGTTATTTGTGTAGGTTGCATAGCTTCTATTGCATTAGCGGTTTGTACGAGTATTTTAACTAAAGGAGCCATTGGGACTGATTTGAACTGACCATAGGGCGGCTGGCATTGAGAATAAACTGTTATCTTTAAAAATTGTTAAATAAGTAGTATTCCGTAAATTATTCTCCCTGATTGAACTACTCTATAGATGCAACTAACTAATTATGCAGCTCCATGAAGCATACTCCTTGAGAAAAGTAAAAGAATTCCCCTCCTATTACGGAACCAGTTGGTTCAGAATTATATTTACATGAACCCGCCTCCGATCCCTGGGCCGAGTTAAAAGAATACCGTCGACACTCAACTTTTAAAAAAATACATTTTAATATTGTACTTCCACCACATCGTCCAGACCGGCTCTGGGGTTCTATCCAATAGGAACCGGGGGTAAAGCGGCCGGTGTGTGAAGCTGATCACTCGCCTCCAACTACTGCCGAGGTCAAGAAAAGTGATCTATACATCCACTCCCCCATACGACTTCATGCTGTAGTGCTTAATTAATTAAGTACAGGGACATTTTTCTTATTGTACTTCAGTCTATTCCCAGGTTTCCCGAAAAGTCTCTTTCCCGGTTAATTTTGTTTTTTCCATGAATTTATCCTCCCTCCCATGCGTGCTACATAACCAACTTATCGCATCCACATTGATTCTATCATCCCAGTAATATTTGGTAACGAGTTCAAATTATGAAGTTCTTCATCATGCAGTTTTCGCTAGGCCCTAATGCTTTGTCTGTCTTCCTTCAAATGTTCTACTTTTCTTGTTTTCTGAGTCCTTCCCTTAATGTGAAACCCTGAGTTTCACAGCTACGCAGAACAAAGGCTGAAGGTCCTTGAATACCGGACAGGAAGACAAAGTGATAGCAATGATTCCTCCAACTTTATCCTGCTCTTCTTTTCTTCGTGAATGCTACTGCGATTCGATATTGTCGCTCCCAGATATTTCAACTTTACCACATTATCAAAACGTTTACCAGTTGTCTTTATAATATGATCTTGTCCTGCATTCTGGTGACGAGACATGAACGTAGAATGTCTACTGAATCTTCTACATGTTTAATTCTAGAACAACCCCTTCACTAGTTTAATAAACTTTCGTGTCTCTTTATTTTATTGGCGCTCTCATCCGTAAATTTACGTCATCAATGTAGAATTGAACTTCATGTGTCCCTCGACGTGTTGTAATTATTAACGGTTTTATACCTGTAGATGTAATAAAAGACACTAAATTTCCAATAATTCCAGCTCAATGGCTCATGCACTGATGGGTGTCTTCAAGATTTAACTTAATAA